CAATATATCTGGTACCTGTACTGACCAAACCTGAATAAAAATTTTTATTGTAACTTCAAAAAAATATATTAAATAAAATCAACAAGTGTTCTCCCAAGCACTTAATTCTAATGTATATTATGTGATTAAAATACTGACAAGAAATGCTCCTTTGCACTCATTTTAAATGAACAAATATTGACTAAAAACGGAATTTAAATATATTAAAGAATTATGATGCATACTTCATGTCAGCCTCTACAATTTGAAGGGATAATAAACTGCTCAACTTTTTTCCTCTCAAATATTTTAACAAGGAACATTATAAAATCATTGTTTGAGAGTCTTTAAGAAGCAGAAGCGATTCATTATGCAAAAAGGGGTAAAGTATTATTAAAGATGTTTCAGCACCCATCTGATTAAATTGATGTTGTAGTGAAAAGCTTACGTCTAGGTAGCTCTAAATTTATGGTCTTCAGATGAGACTGATCTTAAAAATCCACTTTCTAACAACTCTTCCATTGGTCAATTCTGATGCTTTGGTTTAATGGAAACTGGAATCTCTAACTTAAAAGAATGGCCCATGTGATTGTGATACAGTGGTCTAAAAAGTTACACTTTGCAAAATGATACTGCTTTCTAAGTTATTCCTTTGAATTTTTTTTTTTTGGGGGGGTGGCAATGATTTCTAAAGCTACTAGTTTTATAAGAGTTAAGGAGAGTTGGTAATTTTTTTTCTTGTGAGAAAAATTTGTATTTAGAATTAGTCAGCTCGACTCAGTTTAGATGATCCTAATCTTGTTGGCAACATCTAAAGCATCATCGTCAGGAGCATGTCAAACATAGGCCTTCTTCTCTCCATTAGGCCTAATAAAAATGTTGACCTTAGCCATATCAATATCATAGAGCTTCTTTACCGCTTGTTTAATTTGGTGCTTGTTGGCCTTCCACAGTGAACACGTGTGTTGTTATCTTCTACCTTATTCATTGTTGACTCAGTGGTCAGGGGAAATTTCATGATGGCATAGTGGTCAAGCTTGTTTCTCCTGGGAGTGCTCTTCCCGGGGTATTTGGGCTGCCGTCGGAGTCTCAGCATCTTAGGCCGCCGGAAGGTGGGTGACGTGCGGATCTTCTTTTTTTTTTTTTTTTGGTTGTGGATGCCCTTCAGGACTGCCTTCTTGACCTTTCATACCTTTGCTTTGACTTCAGTGTTGTGAGTGGCAGGTACTTACTTCTTCACTTTTGGCATACCATCTTTGTAGAAAGAGAGTTGGTAAAAAATATTTTAAAATAAGAATTTGACTATGAGATACATAAAGATGATCAGGATTATAGTATAACCACAAACAATGTTAGATTACTGGATGATACTATGTCAGGCTGTTGACTTCAATGTTATTTGAACTTGATAGTTCTAATCCATCAGGCACTCAAAGAGAGAGAGAGATGGGTACTCTCTACTGTAAAGATTTAAAGCTTCAGATAGTCAGTGTTTCCAACCTCTCCAACTGTTCAAAACCAAAAGATGGACAGTTTCCTCCTTTTAAGACTTAAAACTTTGGAAATCGATAGAAGGTTGGCTGTAAAGTGGAATTGACTTGATGGCAGTGAGTTACTATGTTGATAGATAGATCTGCCTAATGTAGACATTTCAATGAAATAGATTCAAACAATAACCTTCATTTTATGTCTAGCTTGGCATAGTCCATAGGGTGTTGTGCTGCTAACTGAAAGGCTATGGTTCAAATCCACAGAGAAAGATGGACAATCTCCTCCGATGTTATTTACAGCCTAAGCAACTTAATAGAGGTTCGGCTATGCATCAGTTTGATGACAATGAGGATTTGTTTTTGTTTTACTTGGTCTCACAGTTCATTCATTTTATATTATGTATCATACTTAATTCCTTTCTGCTGCCAGATAGTATCCCATTGTATGGATACATTACATTTCATTTATCTGTTTTTTGGTTAAGGATATGTTGGTTATTTCCACTTTTTTATATCCTATGAATAATGCTATAATGAACATTCATATGTAAAGTTTGGTGGTTTTTTTATGTGCCATTGCATTGCCTAGGACTCATAGTAACCCTGTGTACAATAGCTCTGAAACCTGCCAGATCCTGAAGCCATCTCACTGACTCCAACACATCTACCCCTATTACTCCAGTTACTTTGCCAATCCATCTCACCTAGGGTGTACTTTGATACACCAGTGTTTTTAATTTTAGTAAAGTCCACTTGACTGTGTTTTTCTTTTGTTACTTATGATTTTCGTGGTATATTCAAGAACGTTTTGCTTAATTCAAAGTCATGAAGATTTACAGATGTATTTTTCCCCTATTTTAAATAAAACAACAACTTTCAAATCTCACATTTAGGTTTTAGGTTTTCTTTTTATGTTTTACAACATTGGAACTAAAGTATTAGAAATTTTCCTTAATGTTGTTATACTTGAATTAATATTTTCATTAATAATGTTTTCTGTATACAGGCATCAAAACTTATAGGGTAAAATGTTCATTTTACAGTTGTTAGATATGTTATACTCTAGAGCAGATTGTTAAGCAACTTACTTTGCCTCTTTTTCTTTCTTACAAGTGTATTATTTTTCTACTTCATTTAATAGGTATTAATCGATTACATATCCTATTTTTGCTCTAGCCAGGCTCAATGCCAACTAAGGTAGAAAACTAATTGATATAATAAATAGCACCCAAGTGACATAGACAATTGACTTGCTTACTTTAATAATAGAACAACTTTGGCAGTAGAGGGATTATAGATCACTGCATGTGGGGAATTAGAAAATGATGAAGAAAACTTCTAAACAAGATGGTTGTAGCTGATTGGTGTACTTATCATAGATAACCCTTCATTCCTTTCAGGGTTACTATCTATGGTGATATGTTCAAACCTTTACATTTGGAAATATTATTAGAGATTTGTAAACTGATTATATATATTTAACTATTTTCAATTTTTTTTTATTTCTTTCTAAAAGAAATTGTTACTTTCTGTGTCCTGGGAATTTATTATTTGCATTTGGGTCCATATACCTCATGATGCTGCATAGCGTGATAACTTATCCATATTTAATTAATTTTAAATATTTTTCCTTTCTAAAATTCACTTGCTATAAATTTTATCAAACACTTTTAATATATTAGCTTTTTATAAATATGATGAATTAGCAAGTGGTAATCAGCAACCTTTAAAACTTAATTCTCTTTGGAATAGAACAAGTGTATTCACTATCAAATTAAATTCCATTTATTAAATTAAAATATGCATTTTAAATTAATTTTGGGCATAAAATTTAATAACATCAAAGACAAATATTACTTCTGTTTATTGAGCAAAAGTATGCTAATATTAGGTGTTTGGGTTGAAAATTAAAAGGGCATACTTTTAAAAAACTCTTATATTGAGGATCATTATGTTTCCAGTAATTATTACTCTCCGCATCCCACTTACCTTTGCAGATGGTATAAAACGCCATCGCTGTTCCTGTTATTAGATGCTATCAAATAAAGTAGGACTCACAGTAACATTATGAACAGCCAATCTGAACCCCATTCTATCCTGTGCCATCTTCACAATCTCTAAAACATTCAAGCTATTTGAGTCAATACCAATACATTTACACTTTTTTTGACATACTAGCCATTACAAATAATGGTTGGTGAGTCTTTTAAGTTTCAGCTATTTAAAGTAAAACTGTATACAGAGTTTTTATTTTCAAACACTAGTAAATTTTTTTCTATTTCTTGCCTTTCATGACACCATTTTCTATGCAGTCACATATAAGTTTTGGAGATTGAGCATGTTTTCTTATTAAATGATAGACCAAATTCTGTTAAGTATTTATTATATTCTTCCTGTCTTCACCCCCCCCCCCATCTACAATATAATTTCCCAAAGTCAGGTTGTGTTTACTGCTCTTAGACTGTTTAAATACCCATCAGGTACCATTTTACACCTGTTGCCATCTGTCTTTGCAGACATCTATTGAAAACAACATGAAATGTTTTCCAATACACAGTTAATGGCACTGCTTCTTCAAAAACTCTGAACCATGCTCTTCCCTTCTTACTCCTCAGCATGGTATCCCAAGTCTTTTCTGTGCTGATTCCAAAATTACCTTGTATTGTTACATTCTCCTTTATTAGAACATGCATCATGGAAGGTATCTTACTACCAACACTTGGTACTTTTGCTCTTGGCGTTTTTTCAATCTGAATGTCTTTCAACCTTATTTACTACTCATTTAAATTTCTTTTTTCTTTACTGCTCAATTCAAAGGCCTTCTTTTCAGGGAAAATCTCTTTTATCCTGTTTTGAAAATTGCCTCGTACTTAACTGATTTTCCCCTTTGTACATTTTCCTTTTTAGTTTTGAGCATTACAACACTTAATTTATTGAATAAATAAAGTTTTTCAGTCTCACTTGAATTAAAATTCTAGACTTACTGTTTATATCATCTACATTCTTGAAAAATTAATATAAGTTTTTAATCTTATTCTGCACTTAAAATTAGTTTAATATTTATAGTGTACTAAGTATACATGCTAACTTTGAAATTATAGTCTGGTTTTACCATACTTGTACAGTAAATGGGTAGCTCTGTGTATAGTCTCTTTATGTGCCTATTTGCCTCATTCGCCCAGCAGATAGTGAGTATTTTGAGGACAGGCAGTTGGTTTTATTCCTGTTCCTGCCCATTGCAGCATGTCAGCCTGCAAAAAAGAAAGGGCAACCCTTTTCCTCCCACTTTTACTTGTCATGAATCATGTTTAACCTAGCTCCACATATTAATATATTGCTATATTGTCCTATTCCAGAAAAGTTAGGCTGATTTATGAGATGCATAAAGAAATCAGTGTAACATGAGTAAAATACTAGGAAGTACATGTTGAATAATTGAAGAGTTTAATTTCACTGTCATGAACCTAAGTGAAACAAAATATATAGTTAGAGAAATGCTAAGGTTGGTCTCTCTTCTCTCATGTATTGCAGGATCTCGTCTTCGCCAGGAAGACTTTCCCCCACGGATTGTGGAGCACCCATCAGATGTCATAGTCTCTAAGGGAGAGCCCACCACTTTGAACTGCAAGGCAGAAGGCCGGCCAACACCCACCATCGAGTGGTACAAGGATGGGGAGCGCGTGGAGACTGACAAAGATGATCCGCGCTCCCATAGGATGCTTCTGCCCAGTGGATCCTTGTTCTTCTTGCGCATTGTGCATGGGCGCCGAAGTAAACCTGATGAGGGAAGCTACGTCTGTGTGGCAAGGAACTACCTTGGCGAAGCAGTGAGCCGAAATGCATCGCTGGAAGTGGCATGTAAGTGAATATAGTGGACTTTACATATATATAACTGGCACATATATACTTTCAGGAGTGTTAAAAGATGTTTTGATTTTGTTCCTACAGATGTCTAATGCTTACAGAACACAGCAGTTTGCATACACACTGCATGATTATAGTTCCCCTACTCCAAAAAGAGCTAGTCCAAGTAATGTCAAGCCAGCCCTACCACCACAAGTTGATATGCATTAAATCCATGTGTAGGTGATGACGCTGTTAGTCTTAGCCAAGTTTGAATTATTAGTAACTGATAAAATGATTAAAACTGATAATGCTAAGGAGAAAAGATTTTATGTAATGTCTCACAAAGGAGGCGTACATCAGAAAAGGTCCTGATTCTTCTAATCCTTAGTTTTAAGGAATGATGACATGCCCAGAGAAGTACTCTGAATGAAATCTGATTTATTGTCCATAAATGAAAAGGAATACTTCTAAAATTGTTCTTCTATTTTATTTACAACAAGTAATTATTGTTTAAAACTTATAAATTTTACTTCTAAACATTATTTTTTTCCTGAGTTTCCCCATGTAATGACTTTCCCCCGGGTCTTTGCTTTGTTAGACTTGTTCCCAACACACATACAATGCTGTGTTTTTATTTTCCCTAAAAAGATTGCTCTTTTCCCTAATCGAATACTGGATTAAGAGGCAGATTTTAAATATATATTTTTCATATAATATGACAGTGTCTTTTTATATTTTTATTTTTAAATAAATGAGCTTTGAGAAATGCTTGAATTACTTCTGACCTAGAGAGGAAAACAAAATAGCTTCTAAATTGAATTTAGCTAGTGAATAAAATGTTTCCTGCTAATGTCATGTCAGCAGTTTGTACCATTTGAGGACATAGGAGATCAAATAATAGTTTTGCATGGCTTATTGTTTTCACTTTGTACATCTTAAAACCTAATAAAATGGAACTTTGAGCTTTAAAAATTGGGATTTTTCAATATTTGTTGATCATCAACATCAGTGTGTGTGGCTGTAAAATGATTTAAGAAAAGCTTTGATGATGTAGGTAGGTAGTTTGTCTTGGTATTATTTTCTTCATTCATTAAAATAAATGTATCCTGTCCTCTTGTACAGTAATGAATAAGACACATCCTAGTATATTTCAAAGGGTTCACTAACTAGTTGAGATGACAACCATGCAAATAGATAATTAATAATAAAGATGTGCTTGTATGATTAAGTAATAAAGGGAATAATAGAGGCATATAAGATATACTGTGAAAACCTAAGGGGGAGAATATTTCATTCTTCCAGGCAGATGGCTTTCAAAGGACTTCTGAGAGGCTGTATCATTTGATCTCTGACTTGAAAGAGAGCTAAGAATTCATCAAGTAAGACAGAAGTGAAAGGTCATGCAGGTACAATAGATAGAACCCCAAATGAACACTGCATCTGGGGATGTTCAGGTAGTTTGGGTTGTCCAAGAGAAATTGAAGTATCAAGAATAATTGGAGAATTAAGCATAGTAATAATTTCTAGACTTTTTGTTGTTACTAGATAAAAGACTGAAGTATAAAATTCTCTGCTAATTGATGTGAAAGAAGGAAAAAAAAAACTATTGAATACTTCAGAAAAGGGTTAGTGGTAGCTTTTAAACTGGGATGGAGCTTGAAGATTGAAAGGAAGAAATGCTTTGAAGGGTACTTTGGAATCATAAATCACATCACTTTATGATAATTTGGGTGGATAGACTGCAGAGAAGGGTAGTGAAGAGGAGATAGAGATTCCCAGATTAAGTTTTAGCTGAGGGAGTGGAAATACGGTTATCTGGAGAGATGAGAAATACCGGAGAAGTCACCACGGAGGGAGTCAGGGAAAATGTGTCTACTTATATTGTATTACTTGACACACCACTAAGATAATTCAGGTAAAAATAAATGGCTATAAATGAAAAAAAAATTATTCTGGAGCTGGGAAGAGATTTCCCACACAGAAGTTGAAATCATAAGACCAATGTGGCCATTGACATGATTTCTCAAATGGGCTCTCAGCAGGGAGTGGTTTGTAAAGTCTGATGCTATTTTCACTTCTGGAAAACTGTTGGGTAAAGAAAGGAAGTATCCATGCCGGAGAGTCTGTATATTGATGGGAACAAGCAGGGCAGTGAGAAGAAAGTCAAGGTAGTAATTCCAAGAGAAGAAAAAACCTGGCAGTAAAAGGCCATATGTGGTTCATAGAAGGGGTTTGTGGGCTGTCATGAGAAAAGATCACAGAGGTCGAGCAATGAGTAGTCGATGGGGTGGAAAATGATGCTTTGTCTTTTAAGAATTCTTCCCTGAACAGTAAACTGGGAAGTGGAGTTGGATTTTGCATTTTCTTCATTATAGCCATTTGGGGTAGGATAGTTCTTTATTGGGGGTGAGGGCTATACTGTGCATTGTAGGATATTTAGCAAAAGACCTACCTCTGCCCACAAAATGCCAGCATGAAACCCTTGTGACTCCCAGTTGGACACCAAAAACATTCTTAGATTTTACCCAGTGTTCTTTGGGGCTGAAATGAATTGAAAACCACTGACATAGGTGTGTCTAAATGGTCAAGGGTATAGAAAGAAATTATAGTAGTTACTGCATGCTATAGATTGAGGACTAACTAATAGGCAGCCCTTCAGTGGGTTTTCAGAGGAAATAAACTATACAGGAAGAGATTGCCTGTCTTTCTCTAACAGCACAGGTGTTGTATTCCAATCACCTGTCTCTGGATTAGCAAAGCAACTCCTTACTCACAAAACCACTATATATGCTACATGTTCGATTGTGAAATGAATTTTTTGTAAAATCTATGTAACAGTATGCATCTCTTTAGTTTGGTTTTAATTTTTAATTTTATAAACTTTGATTTCTATTATAGAATCAAATACACAGGTTTTGTGTTTTGTTTTGTTGGTTTTTTTTTAATATCTTCTTTTACCTGGCTCTATAGAAATCAGTTTGCTTTCTAACATACATATTTCTCTATTTTTTGTTTTGGTTTTAGGTTTTAGTTTTTTTGTAACTGAGCTCAATAATGAAAGGGAAAAAACAAAAAACCTCAGAACTCATTCTTTTACTGGAGATTGGAATCACTTCCCTTAGATTTGTCTTCTACTTTTCCTCATGGCTTGTAAAAGTAGCAATCCAGAATGTGATTTTGAAACTATTTGATTTCAGGAAAGAAACTTGAGTAAAAACTGGCTTCAAACATTTAGAAAGCTGCAGTTGACTGGCAGCGCCTGGCACTGAAGAAGTTAATGCCGAGCTGTCTGATGGGACTATTGCTAGTGCAGTGGCAGTGGCTGCCATGGATAGGATTTCAGCTTGGAAGGAGTAGAAGGAGCACTGAGGTCTTCACATAGAGTGTGACTGTGTGGGACGCTGACTAAAGTTGGTGGCAGCCCCTAGAGATAGCAGCTGTAGCCCCAGGTGGTAAATATATGACAGCAGCTTGATCTATCGACCAGGGTAAGAGGGGGCTCTGCCCTAAATGAAAATTCATGAAAAATTGATGAAGTCCCCAGATTATTTTTTCCGTTTCCTTTTCTCAACACTATGCTAGTGCAGAGAAGGGAGATTAAATGAGGTGTTGAATGCTTTAGAAGCAAGAAGGTTTTGGTGCAAAGGTCAGAGGTCATGTAAAAACAGATCCTGACCCCCCCTTACTTCTAAACAACAACAACAGCAATATATTTTTTTTCTGATTAGCAGGAATGTACCTTTCCTTTGATTAAGGAAATAATGGGATAAAATGGCTAAATGTTCAAAAGTTGGCTTTTGATGCCATTACAAAAGAGAAAACAGATCTGATTCATAATTCCATTTGAGAACTAGAAATAGATTGAATTCCATGACTGCAGGGCTATTTCTTTCTCTCTCTCTCTCTTTTCCCCCCTTCTGGTGTGTGTCTCCATGTTTCAAGACTCATGCTGCAAGAAAGTCATTTAGAGAAGGAAAAGGTCCTGCATTATTTATAGGTCACAGATTGCTAGAATAGCAAAGCTGTGGAACACTCTGCAAACATAATGATCCTGTTTGCTTTAAATCCAAAGCTAAATTGATGTTTTATCTGTATGAGCAAGAGAGGTTACAGAGGTAGATTGACTTTGTAAGAGAGGTCACAGGTGGCATTAAAAATGAACACAAGAGAAATTGTTTTCTTGGTATTTCCAAGTTAAATAGATATGTAATGCTTTTTACTTGTTCTGTTGTTTCACTAGATGAATCTCATCTAATAAATTATCTTTTTTATTCAGTAAAAGCATAAAATAAAGTAAGCTTCAAAAAGACTTAGACATGGAGAACTTTGGTTTAAAACCATTCATTGAGTCATAATTCATATAGCTCATAATTCACTCATTTAAAGGGAACAATTTAGTGGATTTTTTCCTCCAGTGGCGTTCACATGCTAAGCACCGATCTCCCAGAAGGAATTTTCATGTATTTTATCCTTCTTAAGGAAAACTCTGGTGGCCTGGTGGGTAAGGAGTTATGCTGACAATTCAAAGGCAGCAATTTCAATATATTCGCTGCTCTGGTGGGTGAAAGTTTGACAATCTCCTCCTGTGAGATTTATAACCTCTGAAAAACGGCTTGGAGGGTCAACTACTGTTGGTTTCCACTCGATGGCAATGAGTGAGTGAATAAAGGAAACTTTGCATCCATTTACATTCAAGTCTCTCTCTCCACTCACTGTTTACCTGCTCTCTATCTTTATGAGTTTGTGTATTTTGGGCATTTCACAGAAATAGAACTATACAGTATGTAAACTTTTGTGACTGGATTATTTCCCCTTGTTGTTACTGTTATGTGCTGTCTTGTTACCTGTGACTTTTAGCCACCTTATGCACAAAAGCTCTGAACTCTGCCCTATCCTGAGCCAGTCTCACTGTCTCCAACATACCTACTACCTTTACCCCAGTTACTGTGTCAAATAATCTCATCTGGGGTCTTTCTCTCCTGCACTGTTCCTTCACCATTCCAAACATGATA